TATATATATATAAATTTATATTATTAAATTGAAACAATTTATAATAATAAAATTTATATATAAAATACAGAAAAATGAATTATAAACTTAATTAGAGAGCTTACAAGGATAATAAGCGAGGTAAATAAAACATAAACTCAATTATTACTTGGTTAATTCAATTTTATAATACTACTTAATTCAATGAATTAATTGTTTATTTAATTTTTGTTACTACTAAAAGGAAAATTAATTGCAATCAAGCATATAAAATTATATTCTATAAAAATAAATGGGAGGGGGAAAAACATAAAGAAAAGATAATACAAAAAGTAGTAATTACTTTAGTCATCCGAATATAGCCTATAAAATTATTCATCCAAAAATGACATCCGGAAACAGGTGTTATCCCGTTCCGGTTTACAAGTGAATTATTAAAACTTATCATTCTTTTTAAATATTGAAATTTAATATAAAAATATTTTATATTGTTTTATGTTTTTAGCTTATAACTGAAAAATAACAATAAATTTTTCTATGGGAAGAAGAACTGATCATCTAAGAACACGTTTTTCAGATTATCTTATCGATTATGGATTTATAAAGAACAACTGAAAAATACTGTATTTATTTTCGATAAAACGGTTATTTGAGAAGACATCGTATTAGGAAAATCCTTACACATTCTAAAATCCCTTGATTTTCTTTTACAAACGTCTATACACGTTTCACAAAAAAGCAAGGAAGATTTAGGAAAAAATTAATTTTAAATTTACTGATAAAATCAAGAAGTTTATAAAACTTTTTATTCGAAATTATTATTAATTATAATTTTAAAATAAATAAGATTTGAGTTACATAGACTTGTCAATAAATCAATTAAATTTTATTTTTCCTTGAATTAATAATTCCTAAAAAGGGCCTTTGCAAGTATTTGATTTGATACATTCTAATAATTAAATAGGGTGAGAGTAGATGAACGTTTGAACAATATATACTGAAAGTTCGCTATAACATTACAGATTTATTATTATTATTTTGAAGTAACCATCTGTTAATGCCCGTATTTGATACAGGGATTATTATGAAAAGACAGAGAGAGGAAAGAAAGTTTGTAACAATTATTCTATATTACCATACATCCAATACGTAACAATTGTTTATTAAATGTGAAAAAATGAGTCAAATTATCTCATTTTTTATTATTTTAATCGATAAAAATAAAATAAAATAGCGCATCTAACAAAAATAAATTCGATTGTACAAACAATAAAATTTTTAAAAAAAACATTAAATATAAAACAATTTTATATTATCTCTAAGGTTATTTAAGATTCGATATTTAAATTTTCTTCTAATAAAATATAGTAATTGTTACACGTAAACGTGTCAATTCTTTGTAAGTAGTATACGTCCCAAGATA